TGGTGTAGAGTACTATTTTGGTACTGTTGGAAATATTTTTTAGCTTGCAGTATTTTGGATAACATTTTTTTTAGTATTAAAAAACTGCTAAGTACAACAATGGTAGCGATGTAAGTGTTACAGCCTTTGCTGATAATCTTAGTATTATGCTGGTTACTATTATGTACAATTAGTACCTGATCAAAAGCTTAAGAAACAGTTTTTAATGGTCACTTCTTCAAATGGGATCAAGTAAGGCTCCAAGAACGAAGTTACCCTGAGATGTAGGACTTGGTACAGTAGTTCTAGTGTCTAAACAGGTATTTCCAGCTGAATCTAATAAGGTACTGAGGAGACAATCTCCCCTCCGTGAGGTCACAAGCAGCAGAGAAAGCCCCTGTATTCTGTAGTGGAGTGAGGTGGGTTGTGTTCAGATCAAGAGTGAAGTGTCGAGAGCTGAGCGGCTCTCGTCTACTGAGGATCTTCCTTAGTCAGAAAGTATGCTCCTGGAGGGTCCAAATGCAGAGCAATGGGGTTGCACAAGGCAGCACTGTTCCCGGATGAAAGGATCTGCTATCACACAACACATCCACTCTTGATGCCGAGCTCACAAAGGACACCATTGTGGCAGTTACTGGTTTGATATGATGTGCAAATTGAGGTTCAAGCCTGGGCGTTACAAACAAGTGTACACTGTGCCACCATGCTTGGCCTGATTACAGAACAGAACGTTACAAACAAGCACAGGGAAGACGCACTGAGGTTTTCCTCTTGACACAAGCCTTTAACAGTTCAAAATCCAGATTCCCTTGTGTTCTCAGAATTTAACAGATACAGAGCCATTTCAATGAAGATAAATTACATTTTAGCTGCAGCCAGATACAGCTAAAAGTAGGCAAATGCAGAAGCATGCCATCTGCTCATTTTAGAATAATGCCATTATACAGTACACCAACAATGTGTTTATAAAGCATCTTTCCAAACCCAAGGATGCTGTACATAGTGATGAAGAAAAAGAGAAAAAAATCAAATGAAAAGTTAAAGAAAATTAAACAGGAACATACAGGATAAACTGTACACCAATCAGATAGAGGCCCTAGTAAAAAATTGTGTTTTAAGATGGGATCTTAAAAGAGTCAAAGAATTTGACTCTCAAGAGTTAGAGGAAGGTTGCAGAACAGTCTGAGATCTAGTCCTGGGTGCAGAGCAGAGGAGCAGCTTCAACCGAACACAGCCTGCAGAAGAAAGGAGCTCAGACATATATGATGGAGCCAGGTTATTTACACCCTTGAAAAATCTGTAACAAGATCTTCTACTGAATACATGACTTTTATTGGCAAACACTGTACAGATGTAAGTGTAGGCGGGACATGTTGGTGTGATGTAGGAGTCTACCTGCAGAGTTCTGGACATATTCCAGCTTTCTGAGAAGAGTGTTAGGAAGCCCACAGAGCAAGGAGATCCAGAAATCAAGCCTTGATATTATAAATGCATTTAGGATTGGACGCTGATACAAATTGCCTCACGGGGGCAATATTTCCGAGGTGAAAAAAAAATGTTTTAATGAAATTTTTTACAAGAGGTTCGAAAGACAGGAGAGGATCAAGTGTGACTCCCAGATTACTGATTTCGGCTGATGCCTGTAAGAGGAAGCCATCCACCATTACTGTGAAGCTCTCCAGCATTTCCAGCTGACACTCACTGCTCACCAGTAAAATTTCCATTTTGTCACTATATAGCTACATGGAATTGGATATCAGAATAATTGGTTGCTATTGACCAACTAGACTACCAAAATATATTTCAGTTCAAAATGATCTACAAAGTCTTTACTGAGGAGGCAGCTCTCATGAGCAGTTGAGGCTGAAACCCTGTGGCCACTCTTCCTGAATCACTGTGTATGGTGGGTAAAGATCTGTAGCCCTCAGAGGCATCCCACCCCCACTCCAGAGCTCCCTTCTCAGAGACAACATTCAGCTAAAACAACAGAGTCCAGCTGGAGGGGTCAGATGTAAAGAGAAGCCCCTAACAAAGCCCCCGGAGCCCCTTTCAAATCCAGGACAAGACCTACACGAGGTTCAGCACTTAATGATGAAGTCACACCGATGACATGTGGGCCTGCCACAATAGGGGACACCTGTCACGGGACGTTCTTACTCAGGACTAATCCCAGAGATCCCAAACACACGGGCCCCTCCCTGATAATACCAGGACATGGGACTGTACAAGCAGTCATTGTCTGCAGATTAACTTGTGATTCGCTCTGGCTCTTAATTACCGAATATTTACAACATTAATCTCATCAGCACACCGCAAAGATCCGTAAAGCACTCCGTGGGCTATTCCGAAGCGCTGCCACAGCGATTACCAGGACAACTCTTTACTGTCTGCATTTCATCTTTTTTCCCTTTTTTGTTTTCAGTCAGCTCGAAAAGATTGATTTCTTTATCTCCTCTTCTGTTTCTTTTCTGTGGCCTTAAAGCAGCAGATTTTTCCAATTGACTCATTACTGTAAACACCAGGGGGCCACTCTGGGCATCTGTTAATATTAAGAATATTGAGAAGCATGGAGTTTCACCGCAGTTAAGGACTGTCCAAAAACAACTGGACTTCTGCATTCAGTTTGGTAGATCTTTAAATAAGTGAACATTTTGTAATAGAAAGGATTGAAAACAAGATGAGCTCTCTGCTTGTCTGATTTCCAGTCACTGCTGGAGTCCCTGCCTTCGCAAAAGCTTGACTGAGCTGGATAATAGCACGTCTTGCGCTGGGTACACAGAGCAAGACAATGCCAACCATACTCCTGTTTTGGAAAAAACAAAGCATCCACAAAAATTATATTCTGGTTTCAATCATGGATAAGCTGTTAAAGCAGACTGGGTGCTTGGGATAACTACTGTATGAGTTTCCATAAGAACTCCGATAAGCTTTAGTAAACTGATGACTAACACTTGAGAAGACAATGTCAGCTTATGGATTTATACTTTCTGTGCTTTGAAACTACTGAAATGTGTTGTTTGGTGAATAGCAATATTTTAGCTGATGAACAAAATGTAACAACATTATTGAAGAACCTTACAGAAAAAAAAACACCAAAGATTGGAAAAGCCAAATCACCCCATAACCCACAATTACTTGTCAAAAGTAATTCTGCATTCAGTTCTGGACTGGGAGCCTTGTGTGTGGAATCTGCATGTTCCTCTGCTGCCCCACGCAGAGCATAGTCCTGCCCTACTGCCTTGGTCTGCAGGCTGGGCGGGCTTGTGGCATCTCAGAGACTTGTGTGGAAAAAGTGCTGTTTGATAACACAACCGGATGAACTAAAATATAGGAATAATGAATTAATTAATTATATATGAAGGCTATATTTTTTTATGTCCAGGTTAATAAAGTTATAACACAACCAGACTCACTAATGTTCTAGAAAAAACACAAAAGCAAAAGCAGTTTAGTGACATCTGAAAAAAAGTTTCTTTTTCAAACAAGATGAATTACTTGTTACCCACCTGAACAGCTACCCACCTGAAAGATTAATTACTGACCACTAAATTTAATTCAAATTTAAAAGAACAATTTTGTTGATTTTTTATCTGATAATGCATGAATTCAATGTTTCGATATACACTACACACAGTGAAGTAACAGAGAAATGTTTGTGCATTCATTTCACATCTTTATAACAAAATCTAAATTTAAAATCAATAAAACACTTTACACCTCTTGAACCAAGCCATGTTTAACAGCTTTTAATGACCAGTTATGCTTAATTAAATGCTCATTTTTTTTCATCCTTTATGATAGTTACTTTTGCCAGGCTCTAATCTCAAATTAAAAATGCAATGCTAAAACAGGAATCCACTCTGATGGGTAAATACTGCCCCCTTCCGATAAAATAAAATATATAACATTCGTAACTCACTGGCATGTCTAAATGAGACAAATATCTGGTTACCTAAAAGTTGGTTCTCAGAGCATAAAAATATTTTAAAATAGTATACAAAGTATATAAAGCACAATAAGAACAGAAAACGGTGGCTGTACAACTTTAAACACCCTATGAATGAGTATATATTTGATTCTGGAAATTTGTCCTTGGCAAATTAAAAAGGCTGTATTTGTAGAAGTTAACAAAGATAAAAATGTCACATATAGATCTTCTAAAACTCTCCTTCAAATACAGTCAAGTATTATAAAGTATATTATAAATATTAAGTTACCCTTGAGACGAGTCTCAAGTGATCTGTGAATTATTAATCATTTACCGCCATCTAGTGGTCATCATGGTCCTAACAGTGATGGTTAAATCCTGTTCCTGTAGAGACGTACGTTCTGTCCCGCTTGAGCTCTGGATGAACGCGCTGCACCAGCAATTGACGTACCGGGCCTGAAATACCATTGTTTTCTCGTTCCTATTCTTTCTATCCACTTGGGCCTCCACTTCCATACTGTTCACTGTGCTTTTTAGATTATCCATCCATTTTATGTCATATACGGGGCATTCGAGTTACAAACTTCTTCTAATTATACAACAAACACAAAATATACAACATGATTTTACAAAGTAGGCCTGACAAGTACAAACACACTGAAGGTCGTCAGCAATATCTCACTTGGGATCTAATCCCGCACAGGATAACATGGACAGGACACTTTCATGTTGGCACTGTTTGATGACAGTATGTACAGCACCTGTATAAAAGCATGCTGAAGAGCTTGAATATGACAAACTGGCTCTGTGCTTTATACAGAGCTCGGCATCTTGTTTTAAACTCCTGTACAGATTATGAATGGAGGACTGTGGAATCTTGTTCAAAATATCCTGTATCTTTAAAATCAGTGTATGGTTTCAGAGATAACAGCACTGGACAAAACGTTTCCTGGCCAGCTTTACCACACGGAGAAAATATTTAACTTCTAAAGATACACATACTGTATCAAGGGTTTCAAAAGCGTATAATGATCACATAAGTAAAAATAAAGTCACTGTGCTTAGCTATTTATGGATGAGTACTCTTACTCACCATCCAGAAGAGAGTTCCATTGGCTAGAGCCTGATACTGATCAATGGTGGACAGCACGCTAAATATCAGGCAGGCCAGCACTATGAGAAATCTGTAAAAGAGAAAAACTCACTGTTACCACAGATTCTCTCTACTCTTTTTGTTAGGGATCAAGTGTTTTAGTGGAGGATTCTCATTTAATCATTTATAATAGAGGGAATGGTACATAACAGGTTACAGATTCAATAATCAGACTCTAATTGCAATGGTTTTTAATTGACGACACAAGCCTCCGAGACAATATGGCAACTGCTGAGTACCCCATTGATCAGACATGAGGCACAGAGGTTAGAGAGAAAGGAAGGGTGTTGGATAAGGCCATGTTTGAGAAGATACAGGACTGGAAAATATGATGAAAACTGTGGAAACAGAGGACAAAGTGGGTATACAGTGCAAATTACATTAAACAAATGCACAAAAACATGAGCACAATCTAATACTACAGCACAAAAGGAATACAAACAGCAAACAATAGAACATGAACGTTATTCCTTGCTTTGCACAAATACTTAATTCTTGTTTTCATGCTCCTGTGCAGTCTATAAATGAAGGACTGAGGAATATTGTTGTAAATATCCTGTAACATTTACCACAGGTCATCCAAATTGGTTGGTTGCCATTCAGATCTCTCAGTAAGCATGTATTCCCCGATGGCCTCAATGCTGCTCTTATCAGGACTTGGTGAGTGATCCGTCAGTGTCTTCATGTTCCAGACAGGCTGGTATTACATGCTTGGGGTCACTGTTGTGTATGAAGGTGAATCGCTGTCCAATGAGATGTGTTCCTGAGGCGGTGGCAGGGTAGATCAAATTTATTTACTGTATTTACTGTACTGTTGTCTAGTCCACCGTCACACAAACTGCCATTGCTTCCAAACTCCTCAAGCTTGGACTTTTCTATAAAGACCTTTTCCAAGTTTATTCATCCCTTTAGTACATTTCTGTTCCCCATTTACATCTTTTTATTTGGTTGCCTCTTCTCTGTAAACGTTTCCAAACAGCTACACACCCAGTTAGACCATTTGAAGCAATCTGTATCTTACTCTTTCTGAAGCAACCTTAATGCATGTACTTGCAGAAAAATCATTCATATGATCTTGATCTTTACTTGATCAAGACATAGAAAATTTACATCACATTGAACACTTTTCTTCTCAAAACGCTTCTAATGTCAACTAATGTGTCACGAACCTTCTTCAAGGTCTTGCATCACTATGCAGTGATACGCACCCAGACCTTTCCAGCACCTCTGAACCATCTCATAGAAGCCATAACTGAGCTAACGAGTGGCCTGATTGGACTATGTACAATTGGAAGTATATGTATGTGAAGAATTAAAAAACATGCGGTACAATCAAAGATGTTAATGGATATATTTTTATTGACAGATGGACAATTTAAATGCCTCCACATGTGTACAGGTGCGCAACTCCAGCAAGGCAGCGTTTCAAACAGGATGATGAACAGGAAGCAGGTTTCCTAATTTCTGAAAAGGGGATGTGGCTCAGTCAGAGCATTCCATTGAAATTGGTTTGGATTCCGTAACATTCTGCACTTGGCCAACATGACATAAAACAAAAGAATGCAAAACTTTATCACAGCGCCTACCTAATAAAAGACCAATAATTTGTAGTGAAATATGATTCGGCCTCAGTATAAAGAGGAGTTTAGAGCAAATTATATTGAATCGATTGTGATACTGAGGACAGAGTCTCCATCTCTGTGTGCAGTATGTGCAGTTTTTATTCAGACAACATTAGAACATCTTCCACCACAAAACGAATGATCTGGTATTAACAGACTGGTAGTGCAGAAGAAATTCTAAACAAAATATTTTCACCAAGATAAGAAACATTATCGTGTCTCCAAGGTAAGCTTAAAATGAGTTATTAAGCACCGTCAGAATGTTCAGAGGAGAAGAAAACATCTTCCTACAGAAAACATCCCCGAAAAAGTAAAATTACACTGTAGCTCTATCTGATCTGAAGGGAGTGAAAAACAAGATACCCACTGAGTTAAACCTTCAGATTAACACTACTGTTAAACTGTTAAAGTTATCTTTGCTGGTAATTATAATTTAGAAGCCTACTCATAGCTGGTTGAGCAGCTACGAGACTTGAACTTTATGAAGCACAAAAATGCATATTTACACATAACCTAACCTGCATAAACCTGGTGCAATTCAGGTAAGTGAGACTGAAATACCTGAAATAAAAAAAACTTTGCAGGCTGACTAATAATTAACCCTGCTGAGAATGAAGCAGGGCAAATGCAGAAATGGAGTAAGATTGTTGTTACTGCATCAAGAAAGTTATCCCCGATGTCTCAAGTCACCTGGAAGCCTTCTCCGTTTTCGTATGTAAAGATTAAATATGACATTACTATTACTATTTACCTTAGAGCAGCTATCATTAAAACATTTTTTTCATTATTGGTTGTACATTCCTGTACTCTGTACAAAGTCTTTGGTTTTAGACTTAAATAGGTGAAGACAACGTTTTATGGGTTAAAGAAGATACTTCAGTTGAGCTGGCACAGAGCCTGCCATTTTCTCTGCAGAAGATACTGTCAACATTATAGACTGTCTGGAATTCCAGTACATTCAGATAAGGATCCTATATTCAGCAGTTGGTATGAGGACTTAGATAATACCTCCCTAGCCAGACTATATGATGAACCTGGAACAGATCCATGTGGTTTCAGCAACCGTCTCACCTCTCTTTAAATATAAACGTGACCCATCAAACATCACATTCGGTGTATTCGACATTTCAGCACATTACACAAGATTGAGAGCAGATGAGCTCAGTCCTTTCATACAGGCATCATACAAAATACACGCTACCATACTGTAGCAAGTGCTCATGGAGGTTCTGAATTTGTTGTTCATAGCTCTAACATTGCAAACAGGTGCATCGGAAGCTCAAAAGCACCGCTTTAGGAGTTTTCACCGGAAAGGAAACTACCTTATTAGTTTGCTATTTTAAGCACTTGAATCGGACTCAGAAATGTGTCTGAAGTCACGTGATTCTGACAGCCAATCTTGAGCCAGACGGGATCTCTCCCAGATGGTCATTAGATTGTTTCTCATTGGCCACATACTGATGCACATGACAGCACCTACACGTACTGACCTGTACCAACATTGGTACCAACATTGAGAGCCAATTGGTACAGAAAGCTGTGCATTATGGGAATCCAAGGAATTCCTGTGAAATGTGTATCTATACAATGTAAATTTCCTGCTGCAAGCACAGCTCACTCTGATTGACTGCAACAACTTACCTTAACACCTGTATATGATTTTTCCATCATCCAAGTTTTCACCCAACCCTATGAAAGCTTAACCCAAAAACATATTTTTCATCCTCATGGTAAATGAGAAAAACTCTCTCATCTTCTTACTATAGACAAAATGTTTCTATACAGAGCAAAAAGAAGCAAAATAAGACAACAGAAGAAGAATGTTTATCTTTTTTTGCTCAGAGGAAGCACCAAACATATTCAGAGATCTTAACCTTAAAAAAATTCTTTGTGAGCATTATGTTGAAATTGCTTCATTTTTTGTGGATTTTTACCACCTTTTTTCCACTACCAGATTGTGTGCCCTTACTTCTGAGTGAACAGTGCTGCTGTACTGAAGACAAAGAAGCAGCAGGAATGTCTCCTATGTACAAGGGTCCCTCATAGGGGCCCAGAGATTTTTCTCAATCAAAGCAGTTGAATGGTTGTTTTGCCCCATGAACCACAGGTGCTACAGCTGTGATTTCAGCGTCACGGCCTGAAGTGGTTGGTACTTAAAGATAGAATGGAACAAATTCCAGACACCCCAGGGGTGTCGAATGACATGAAAAAAAGTGTAAACAGCTTCAATTGTTTCAACAGATCAGGTCAGTTCATCATCAGCTATTTTAGTCTCAGTAATAGCATCTTTAAGGTTGAGGAAATCTGCACAAAATAAATATTGCATGACCTGTGAGGACACCTTAAATGTCCCTGTGGTTCAAAATTTCGCTCGAATTTCCTATTATTTTTCCTGTAAAATGAGTCCTCGAGGATCTGTCCCGTGGGATTTCCAAAGACGTTTACAAGGATCTGTAAAGATTTTTCTGCTCAGGCCACAGATTCTTGCAGATTTTTCTTCTGTGTTACAACAGAGGCTTCTTTGTCTCCGCAAGCTGTCCACATTCTCTGGAGCAGGCTGGTGCTGCGACACCTCCTTATTGTGCAGGAGTATGGAACCAAGTTATGGAACAAGGTTTTAAGGTTGGGGAATTTGGTGAATGTGTTTTGGTTTGGCAATCCAGCTCAGTGAAATGCAATGTATCCCTATTATTATTATTATTATTATTATTATTATTACTTTGATCAAAGATGGATATGATCTCCATTGCTACAAAATGCAATGGAAAAATACGACAGCTTGTACTGAAGATAGCAGGATGAGCTGCACAATAAAGGCTGTCTCACAACTTCCCTCCATGCTCAGTAAACACAGTAAAGAAGAAAAGAAGCAAAATACAGAAAATTTGGAGTAAGTCTCTCGAATACTGTCAAAGAAAGAAACGGAAACTAACGTTATCAGCACAACTTCTTAGTCCACTACTTTGAAAGATAAGGCACAAGTGGCATATTATTTGGCTCTATGTTAACAAGAGAAAAAGGTCCATACAGTGTGCCAGCACTTTATTTTTCTAGCGTCTTGCACCTCTTAGTAATAACATCAAGCCTTGGCCAATAAGTAATATTGTACAGATTTTAGAAGCTCAGTCGTGTACTTGGTTAATCATATAGGGAGTATCAAACTGAAAAACTGATATTTCAAATTGACCTCATGCAGGATTCGCAGTGTTGTCTAACAGAACCAACAAGAGGACAGACATCCGAAGAACAGAACAACTATTCAAAGACTTAACTGGTCAAATTGCAAAGGAATTGCAAGTGATGGTGCAGACTATATAACAGAAATAGCAAACGTTAAACAAAAGATACCCCAGACAGCTGGCAATAACTTCATTTGGAATCACTGCTTCATTTCCCTTGTAGCTTTCAG